ACCCTCTGGGCCTAGAGGGTTCCCTGCCACAGGGAGAGAGAATTAGTGGGTTAAGCCTGAGTGAGCTGGAGGTTTTGCTGGATCAGGGCCATCAGGCTCACTCCAGATGGTGAGAGAAGGGGGTTGGGGAGGGTCATGGGAGGTCAGATCTTTGGGTCCCTCCTTGAATGTCCCAGGGCTCCAATCAGAAGCAGCCACGACAGCCTTTCCCTGGGGTCTTGGGATAAATGTTGATGTTGCTCCTTCATATCATATCCAAAGTGCTTTCCTGAGAGTGATGTGAAAGCAGTGTGGAGCAGAGGACAGTGGCATCAGACAGACTTAGTAAGCTGTGTGTCGTTGGGCAAATCACCTATCGTTTCTAGGCTGTAGTTTCAACTATAATTGAGGCTATTAATACTTTGCAGGGTTGCTATGGAGCTAAATGCATTAATGCATATAAAGTATTCAGCAAGTGCCTGGAACATAGTAAATACCTAATAAGTGTAGTTGTCATTATTTTTAATGATAAATTATCTCTAAGGTCCCTTCTGGCTCAGACAGTCCTAGGTTTTATGGCTGTACGATTTAGCAAAGCCTCCAGCTTTGGAAGGGAAATGTAGCTGGACTTAAAAGAAGGCAGTGAACAGAATCTGCAGCAGGGGTCAGAAAACTTGGGTTCCAGTTTGGGCTCTGCCACCCCTGTCCTATGTGACCTTGGGCAAGTCTTTTCTAGTTTCTGGCAACTTTCCAATATGTTTAAAAGCAGCTTGGGCCTGCTGATCTCTAAGGGCCTATTCAGTTTTAACTCCTGTCTAGAGGTCTAAAGGGTACCTTAGTAACCGTCCACTGGCTCCTCTTTTACAATTTCAACTTCCTTCCCTTCTGCCCCTTGTTTCTTGGAGTATCTTCATAGCAGAAAGGACATAACTTGCCAACTCCAATGTGTATTTTAATCATATTTAGCTTTTTGCTTTTGCTGTGCACAGAGAACTCTTTAAAACAGAGCTTAATGCCATTTTTGTAAGCAAAGTGCATTCTATCAAAGAATGTCAAAATGTGCTCTGTGTTTTCAGATGTGAAAAAAGATTCATTCGAGGTATTGTCTTTCACTGCATCGCTGATTTCTTTTGCTTTTATCTCAAAAATGACCAGCACAGGCAGCCTTGTATGCTATAATTAAAAAAAAATGCCACAGTCAGTGCATTAAAAAAAATCATGGGTATGACTTAAATAGAAGGATATTTGTTAAGTATCATATCAGAGAGAAAAATGGGAAATAACCTAAATGTCCAACATTTAGGTATAATTAAATTATGGTTTATCCACTTGAGGGCACTGTTAGAAATGGCGAGGCAAATGTCATAATACATGGGTAGGAGAAAAAAGTTGGTTCTAAAAGAATAGGATCTAAATTTTAAAGAAGCATCAGGATGAATGATAAGCAACTGCTGATATTTGACCACTTTTAGCCTATAGAATTAGCAATTTCATATGACAATTTAACATATATAAACAAAAAACGTATCTGTAAGGCAAGGGACTAGAAGGCATGCCTCCCACCAAAATACTGACTGTGGTTATTTCTGATTGAGGCTTTATGGTGATTACATTTTTTCTCCTTCTTTAACTATATTTTCTGTGAACAATTCAAGGACTGCTACTAAAAATAGTACCCTAGAAAAGCATACTATTGTATGAACAGCGATTTTTCTGCCATGTTATAGCTTGTCTGATTTATCATTTGTGTTTAAAAGGTCTAAAATGACTGCAATTACATGACCACAGGCAGGATGGAAAGCTCTCCTCTTCATGTACTTTTGGTACCAGAATTGGTTTTTATTCAGTAGTGGCTATTCAGGACATTTTGCTGGTGGGCCCAGCTTTTCAAAGCCCTTTTCATCTCTTGCCACCCCCCACAACAACAGACAAATATTTTCCGTGAGCCCTATCACTGGGGCTTCAGGCCAGCTGTGTCCCTAATCCGCCCACGTCCCAGATTTGGGAATGGTTCAGACTCCAACTGTTCCCCCATCCTACCCCGGCTTTCTTCCAATCTCATCTCTTCCAGGTCATCGGAGGCCCCATCTACCATCCCTGGCCTTCCCCTCTGATCACCACCTGATTTCACCATCTAATTTCACCCTCTTCTGTGCAGCTGGTGTTTGCTTTTTGCTGGAGCTCAGTTTGCAATGGGGAAGGATTAGGACCCTTTCACGCCGCTGTCTTTTTTCTTTTCTTTTTTTTTTTCCTTAGTGCCCTTGACCGCTCCAGGGGCTGACAGGCAGCTTGCAGAGCCTGTATTCCCTAGGAAAGAACAGGAGGGGTGGTGGGGGAGGCAGTGGTGGGCTCAGCTGGCAGGCGGATAGAGATGGCCCTTAGAGACCCCATCCTGGGGCTTAGAGCATGGCCACCCAGATGTGAGCATGGAGCAGCAGGCAGGGAGGGAGCTGAGTTTCTTCCTAGGAAATTAGCTTCAGAGATGGTGCTTGGGACCTTTACCCTGTACTCAATGGCAGCCTCTGCAGGGTGAGCTGGAACCAGATGTCTGGTTTGCAGAGGCCTCTTCTGAGAGGGCAGATGGGGACATGAATAAGGGTAGTTTCTCTGCCTTCAGATGGGGCATTACTTCCCCCCTCACCCCCACGCCCTACTATGTGTTGGGCCCAGCTATACTCAGGGATGTGGTACTTAGCCTAACAGGTAATGATGTGTACCTAACTAATAACAAAAATCCCTCCTGTGTGGATAGTACTTTACAGTTTACAAAAGCTCTTTCATCTCCAGGCTGAGAATTAAAAGCCAGGACTAGATTTTAAGTCTTTTCTTTAAGATTCTAAAGCCTGTGCCAACAGGTTTTGGTGCATTGTTGCATGGCACTCTGAATTTAAGAGTGGTTTACACCTGCCTTATGTCTAGCTGTTTTCTGCTGGCCTAAGACCCCCACTTTTTTCCAGGGTGACAATTATTAAATACTACACAGTCCAACCAAGCCTCTTTAAATACGATCTGTCATTGCCCACTAGCATTTCATGGCATAGAGAATATTAGTTTTCATGAGTCTGAATTTGCTGGATAACACGGTGGTGGTAGTGGTGACCTGTCTTGTGACTGATCTTCAGGATTTATCCCTCACGGTACCAGATTTTCAGGTCTGATACATGAAGGAAGCCTGTGAGGCACAGAGATGGTAGAGCTAGAGCTCCTGGAACCCGAGGACCTGAGGCAGGGAACCAGAGTATTCAAGAACAGGTGCTTCATCCCTAGTGCACAGAATGCCCTTGGCCAAGTCACCTGACCTTACTAAGCCTCAGCTTCCTTATGTATAACATGGGGATAACTCATTCACTTGTTCAGCAAATATTTACTGAGTGCGCATTGTTCTGGGAGTTGAACAAGAGGACAAAGTCCCTTCCCTCCTGGAGCTTGCATCTAGTGGGTCTAAACTGCACAAATTTACTGAGAGGGACAAATAAATAAATATATGATAGAAAGTCAGGTGAACTGCCATGAAGCAAAATTCAAGCAAGGCAAGGGTATGTAATTGGAGGCTGTTTTAGATAGGGTCATCAGGTGGTCCTCAAGTGTCTCTTAGGATATTTCAAACAGATAACCATGTAATGTGCTCAGCTTTGTGCTGACAGTTGAGTGCTTACCAAATATATCATTACTATGTCAGTGAGCTCCACACCTCTCAGTCCATATTTTAGTCTCCAAATAGCAGTAATAATTAACACTTATGTAGATCTTTCTGAGAGCTAGGCACTGTTCTAAGCCCTTTACATATTTTAACTCATTTAATTTTTACAATAAACTCTTATGAGGTAGGAATTGTTATTATTATTCCCCGTTATGGGTCAGAAACAAGCGCAGAGAAGGCCAAAGGGAGACTGAGAAGTGAACTCAGGTAATCTTTTTCTAGAGGCTGAGATCAGATGTGAGGGGGCTGTGATTAGAAACCAGGAGACAGTCTAGCTGGCACGGCTCCAATGTCAGATTGCCTGGCTTTGGATCCTGGCAGGTCTAAGTCTCTCTGCTTGGGGTTCTTCATCTCTAAAATGGGAATACCAGAATCTACCTTACCTTATAGGATCCATGCTTAAGACAGCCTTCTTTCTGTTAGTCTGTTCAGAGATCAGCTTGGCAGGGATTATGAAGGTTCAGGGGAGCCTCTAAAACTTCTGAAAGGTATAAAGGCATATCAGGCAATTGTCAGAGCAACCTAAGTTCAGCTGGAGACCAGCCCTCCGAAGCTAAGTTTTCATGAATTTGAAGGTGCCACGGCAGAATTAGGAACCCCTTAAATACAGAAGACAGCTGAAATCTTGACGTGACCACAACACTCAGCTTCCATTTCAGGCCTTACGCAGCTGCCAGGAGAGGTAAAATCTCATCAAATGTCAGGGTTGGAATGGCGCCTAGAGGCGGTCAAGTCAGTAGATGGGGAAACGGAGGTCCAAGAAAGCTGAGTGACTTACCCAAGGTCACTAGGTGCATTGGGGACATTCAGCGGGGGTAGCTTGGCATTAGCTTCCAAATCTCAGCTTCTTACCTGGCCCTCTTCGGGGAAGAAAGGGTGTCACCTTCGTTCAGGGTACTAGCTACCATGTTCCCCACGTGGGTGCCGCAGAGGCCAGGAACACCTAAGACTCCAGAGTGGGTTCGACCTGCGCGTGCGCACACCCGGCCAGCCCCTTGCCTTTTCCCCTCTTTTTCCTTCCCCTCCCCTCCCCTCCCCTCCCTGGCCTTGGGGAGTGGGGGAAACGAGAGGAGCCGGAACTTGGCTTCAGCCAATGGGCTCTCGGGCCGCGGGCCCGGCCCCCTCCTTCCCTCCGGCGCCGTCCAATAGAAATTTACTACAATGTTGTGGCGAATAGAGGGGGAGGGGCGCGCGCGGGCGGGCTGGCTGCGGGCCGGGCCGGCCTCGCCTCGCGGTGGGAAGGCAGGAGGGCGCGCTCCGGGGCTGCCTGCTCGCTAGCTCGCTCGCTCGCTCGCTCGCTCCCTCCTCCGCCGGTGGTTAGTCAGTCAGTCCGCCAGCTGCCGGCGGCCCGCGAGCCGCAGAGGGCCGAGCCTTGGACGCCGGCGTCTCCTCCTGCCATTGTTCGTCCGGCGGCTGCAGCGGCGGGCGCGGAAGCCCGTGCCACCGGTGAGGCGAGGCGGCGGCGGCGCGCGAGCGGGGCGGGGTAGGGGGGCGCGGAGCTGTCCCCGAGGGGACGGTCCTGGCGGCCGCGGCGGCGCCGCAGCCTCTTTGAACCACCCCCCGCAGGCCCGGGCCGGGGGCGCGGGCTCCACGGCCTCTGCACGCCCTCCGCACGCCGGCGGCCGAGGAGCTGGAGCCGAGACGTGGCCGTCCTGAGGGGGAAGAGGCGCGGGTGGCGCTGGGGGAGCGTTTAAAAGTTAGGCTGGGGTGCATTTTTGACGAGAGGAGGTCGGTACCGTCTGGTGTGTCAATCGTTGTACGGTGAGCAGGAGCCCTGGAAGGAGACCAGAGGTGGGCGAGTTGCAGGTTTCGGGTGGTGAAGGTGTGGGGTGCCGCCGCAGAGCGGTTTCTTGGTGACGAGGTAGCTGGGCCGTCTGGAGAAGTCAGGCGCAATCTGAGGGCTGGAGGGAGCCCTGGAAGGACTTTAAGGCCTTCCCGCCCTAGACACTTGCATCATTAAAACAAAATCCCCTAAACCCGAGGGCTCCATGCTTTCCCGCTGAGTCTTCCGAGGTCCCAGGTACCAAAGGGTTAAATCGATTCTCTCAGCGTCGTGACCTCTTTTTTCAGTTCGCGCATCTGTCGGCTTGGACGTATTTCCTCTTGCTTGCTAGGCTGCCTTTACCTGCAGACAGGCTGCATCTCGGCTCGCCCTCCGAGATTCATCCCTGGGCTATTATTCCTGGTGGGGGTTTGCCAAAACAGGTTTATTCTTCCCAGGAACGGGCATTCTCTTGAAAGAGAAAGTGATCTCACGTGAAACAAATTGCTGACGGATTGGTTTCTGGCCACATGATAGCGACTGTCATCCTGTTGTTTCTCTTAACTGTACCCTACCATAAATGACTAGTCTGTGGAGACTTGTCTTTTGGTATGCATTGCTGATTAGGAGTTAGTTTTTTTTTTCTTTTCTTTTTTTAAGAGATGCTGAGCTTTTTTTAGTAGTCTGGGTGATTTCACAGCTGCTATTCTGTTCTTTCTGTTTTTAGGGAAAATTGCAAGAAATGGTTATGTCTTGTGTCTTGGATATTATTATAGTGAATTTATACTCTCTTGAGGAGTATCTCTTGAGGTACTCAATGCTGTTGCTCATTACTTTTTTCTATATTCTCAGTCCTGGCAAAATGTGTAGTTGGTTTGACTCTTTTAATCAAATATATATATATATATATATATGCTGTGTATAATGTATATCTTTATATAATTCTTCTCATCCCAATTTTGTTGTGTAGCATTAACTCTCACTTTTTATGAAAACTTGATGTACTCTTCATTTTCCTTTTCTTTAAGTTTGGAAACCTAAGCTCTTTGCTAGCTGACCCATTTTGATTTTATGAAATAGTTTCTTGGGGTGTTATTAATATAATCCATGTGGAGTACATAGCAGAATATATGGCACACAAGAAGCACTCAATAAATGACAGATTGAAAAATGGATATAATGACTGAACATCAGATTGCCTTGGAATAAAGGTGCTAATTCAGAGTGCTTTCTACAGGAAGGTTATAATTAAGGTAAAAGAGAAGTTTCTCACACCCCTGGGGAAACTGAAGTTTGATGTATCTTTGCCGCAACTAAATGTGAACTTACCTGCAGACCCAAGCTCAGCATGTTAACCTACCGATTCCTCTTTCTTCCAATAACAGAACTACACTTTTCCCCCTTGTATAATTGAATTCAGACTTAGAAATAAATGTTTTCAATCTTTAGGCCTCATGGAAATTCTCCCAACATTTCTATCAATGTTTTGTAACCAAATGTTTTATAGGTATGTCCTTGCACAGTATGGCCCCAACCTACGTTTCCACCTTTATTCTCCTTATTACTTGTATTTTCCACGCAAAAAGAACTGCTCAGTAATAACCCATGCTTTCTGTACCTTTGGCCATGTGATTCTATCTATGCTTGTCATATATATTCCTCCTGACTGTTTTCAGTTCTCTTAAAAATGTTCCATATTAGTAATCTGAAGTGTGGGAAAAGTTCCTTATGTGAAAGGAACTTGATGGAATTTTTTGTTTTGTTTTAAGTTTTCTTTGAGCTTCATTAATAGGGTCAACCAGTTGAATTTTAACTGATGTTTGTTAAAAGGATTTAGATCCTAAGTGCCCCATTAGTGTGTGCAGCCCTTGGTGGTAATGATGGCTGATGGTAGATTAAGAAAACCTCTTAGGCTTCCATTCTACCCAGAGCTAAGAACACCAACTGACATGGTTAACACTTGGAAACTCTGGCTGTTAACAAATAGACTAAACTAATTAGAAGAAAGTTTTTATCTTTTAGGTGAGTCTCCGCTTGTTTTCTACGTCTCTTCTCTTTCTTGGTGGTCTATGGGCCATTTCCCTGGTGCTTGTTAAACACTCAGATCATGTTTATTGTATCCGAGTAGTAGGTATGGCAAACAGGCCTATGTTTTAAAGTAGACTTATTAATATAATTTATAAAATAACATGATATAATAATTTATGTAATATTGACAAAATAGTACACATTCTTTTTCATATTTAGAAGTGCTTGCATCTTATCTCCTTTCTTTTTCCCTAAAGAATATTTCTGAGCTAATACGTAAATTAACAAATGATTTAAAATGATTCCTGTCTCTTCTGAAAAAAAAAATGGTTGTGGCATTTTGTTGAGATATGACCTATATATTTTTCCTGTTATTCTCTTTTGTCAGATTTATGCCTCACATTTAAAACACCAGTGTGATGTTTTCTTGTATGCAGCTTGAGTTTAACATTTTTGGAAATTACAGAGCCAACCTTCCATTTTATTCCTTAGTTTATGTCTTTATTTTAAACAAATTCATTTTATGGGAGATAGTGTGCTTACAACAGTATTTGGTTTCTTTCCTCCTGTTCCTAAGAAAACTTCAGAGTTAAGCTTGTCAGAAGCATTGCCTAAGTCACAGGTTCTTGAATTCTCTGCAGGTACTTTGATATACTTATGGGTAGGTTGTGATTTAAAATATGCAATCTGTAATTTGTGATGTGAGTGATAGGACTTGCTTATATTGTTTTCTAATGTCCAAATTTAATTTAATATTGGTGGTCTGACTTTATAACTTTAGGATATCAGTGGCCATCAGGACTGAATTTGGTTCTGAAATCAAGAGGAGGGAATGTTTAGACCACAGTGTGTTTCCTTGTTATCTAAGAAGCAGGCAGCGCCAAGTGCTGCCAATGTATTTTTCAAGAGTCTCATCAGATTCGTGATTGATCACATGCATATTCAGATGCAGATTCATTGCTACCTCTAAAGGACTTGTTTTTTTCCCCTATTGCTTGAGCATAGAATCACCTTATTTTTATTTGTGAGCTAAACAATAATAATTCTAGTAAGTTTTTTCTAATGAACAACTGTACTTTTTTCCTCTGAATAAAGCCCCCAAAGATGAAACTTTTAAAAACTTTTAAAAGAGAGCTCTGAATTGATCAATTACAGCCTTACGTATGTAGAGGAACTAAAATTATTGGAAGGTTCATTGCATTTATAATAGCGTATAGTTAGAGGAGGGCCATATTTCAAATATATATGTTTATTTTTATTATTTATTTAAGTTTGTTGATATGTCAGTGGTGGCTTACTTTGTGTCCTTTTTATGAGTAGGTTCATGGTGTGCTCAGTAAAATGCAGTGTAACAAATACTCTGGAGCACACAGTGGGTTAGATTAGCATTTTAATTTACTCTTCTGTTATTTAATGAGTACACAGGGAGAAGGATATAGAAAGAGCTATAGCAATAAACATTATTCAGAAATTGGAGGTATTGGAAAGGAGAACTTTGATATTTATTTGCTTATTTGTTTATTTACTTTATTTATTTATTTATTTATGGTATAGTCAGTTTACAAGGTTGTGTCAGTTTCTGGTGTACAGCATAATAGTTCAGTCGTACATAATATTTTATTCTGTGTGCTGATCTTAGAACTACCTCACTGACACTACTTCAAATGACTTAGGAAAGTTTAGTGGGAGGATCTGATTATGATGAAAGTCTGTTTACACTTATTTTTGCTGAGTATTTTTATTTAAGTGAGATTGTACCTACCTTGAAATATTAAAAAATAGGTTGGCTGCTTTTTAAACTTTAAAAAAAAGCTACATAACCGTGATGTGGCCCATACAACTCATAAACTTGGAGAGACTTTAATATACCTTATCCACTAGTCTTCATTAGCTTCCCCCAAAGTCACCCTAAATAAATATGCTACCCCTAAAAGTCCCTTCCAAATAGAAAGTCCAGAGCCATTCTGGCATCATTCTCTTTTATTACTTATTTCACTATTTATTATTTTATTATTGCATTTATTAAGACCAGTTCTCGTTTTGCACTTATCTCTTGATTATCTCCAACATAAATCCATGTGGATTAAATGATGATTGTGTATTGAATTGCTACTTTCTTCCTTCCATGGCTGAGAGCTCTTTGGGTTGCTTCTATCCACTTAATCTAGGCTTCTTTTTGTAAAAATTAACATTGTTTCTGAGCTATGTGGAGCGGAGTTTGGATAAGATTAAAGTAATCTTGGTAGAGTGGGTAGGAAGAGGCAAGATTGTGTGATAGAATGGATAGGAACTAAATATTTACACTGATAAATAAAATTGGAAGAAGTAGATGATCTATTAATATTATCTAATTCTGTTCCATCTACATTAATGTATATCTATAATTTTATATTATAATTGACCCTTAAACAACATAGGGGTTAGTAGTGCTGACTGTCCACGCAGATGAATATCTGTGTGTAACCTGTAGTTGGCCCTCCATATATGAGTTTCCTCCATATATGTGGTTCCACATCTGAGGATTCAACCAACCTTGGATGGTGTAGTGCTGAAATATTTACTATTGAAAAAAAAATCATGTATAAGTGAAGCCACGCTGTTCAAAAACTTGTTATTCAAGGGTCAACTATATTATCTAATAGTATTATCTATTAAT